GAAAGGGAAGGGACTGTTCAATAATGAGATGTGCTAGATACAATCAGTCATGGATACCATCAGTCATGTGATTTAAGAATAGAATTATTATTATTTTTAATTATAAATTTAAAATTTAATTTTAACTTTTATATATTAAAAAATAAAAAATCAAGGTGCTAAACTACAAGAATAATTTTTTTAATAATATATATTGTGTTATTTTATAATTTAAATTGTTTTAAATTATAAAATAAGGACTTTTAAATTGGGATAGAACTTCCAATATCTAGGAGCTCTTCTCGTATCTAAGAGTTAGGGCATGTTTGGTGCAGCTCCTAGGAGCTTCAGATTTTGCACACTATTCATGTCTCATGAATTTAAATTTTTCTCTTAAAAACTTACACTTTTAAATATTTTTTTAATCTCAAAAAGCTCTTAAACAATAAAAGCTTAAAAATTTCAAATCCAAACTTTTCATAAACTTTCTTTTTACTTACTTTTCATTTATTTTTTCACCTTTCTAAAAGCTAAAACTCTATTTTTCCTCATATAAAAATTTAAACTTATCACTTATAACAGTACTAAAAAAGCTAAAACTCCCACCAGCCACACCAAACAGGCCCTTAATATTTTATTATTTGAAAAAAATTCAAATTGTAAAATATTTTATTAATATATATTAAAATAATTGAACCATGTATCACACAAAATGTGATCGAATAATTAGTATTTGATTTTAAATTTAATATTTTTAAAATATAAATTATAACTAATTACATTAAATTTATGTGTTACATAACACAATTATGTAAAGAGTCTTTTGAAATTAAATACATAATAATATTACTAACATTTCTCTCTTTTGAACTTTAAATTTATCTTATAAAATAATTCTTATTTACCGATAGATTTGACCATTGAGGTCATTAGCATTCCCCTTTAATCATACATAATTAGCTCGTTAGGTGACTTATGAATTATGATTATAATTTATAACACTCACAAATCTAGCTAGCACTAAATTGGCTGGTAGAAGTGCATGAAAACTTTAGCCTTGGCCAACGTTCAAGTCATCATGACGACAATTCTAAAAATTTCTCGATTCTTCCTTTGGAACTCAAAATATCCAACAGAGTCTAAGGCCTGTGTTTGAAATTATTGTAAAAGATTGTATTTGTAATTTTTTTTAATATTTTATTATAAAAATTATTATAAAAATTATCTTTTATATTAATATAACTATTAAATTATAAAAAATATTACTTAAAATTAATTTAATTATAATATATTAATACTTTTATAAGATGCAATATAAAAAAATATTGTTAAAAAATAGCTCTAAATACAACTTCGATAGAACATCGAGCCCATTAACCGCTAGAACATCCAGACTTAGAGAGGTTAATAAAATAATAATTTTTTTGAATTTCTTAGTTTCAGAATATAATGGATGAATTAACTTCGACTTAATCAAAGAAAAATTAATGTCAAAATAAGCATAAATTAATCCGAGAATATACTAAACACTAAAAAAATGGAAAAAGGAAAACTAGAAGATCCAGAATTCAAACTACTAGAACATCCATAGTCTGTATTTCTCACATTATTCACACCGACCCATATTCATGGATAGGTCCATCCCATGTGAACGAGGCTGAAACTTAAGTAGCGTCTGGATCACGAAGGATATGACGTGATTTGGTCATGAGGCTATTATTTATCCACCCCTCGTTTTCCCGAACGGCTTCTTCGTCATCCCCTTTGAAACGTGCTACTATCCTGCAGTCTACATGCCGCCTGCCGCCACACATTTAAGAAGTCTAACCATTAAAATATATATAGGTTTATTGGGTATCAATTTTAATTTTAAAAAATTTTAATTTCAATTTTAATTAATTTTTAAATTTAAATATTAATATTTAATAAGATAAATTTTTAATTTTTAATTAAATAAAATTACATAATTTAAAATTTTAATTTTAATTTTTTAAAAGTGAAAATTAATATATATTTTCTATATATAAATATATACACACATGAGATTAAAGTTTATAGTTATATTCATAAAAAAGGAATATGTAAAAAAAAATTAAAATTATGTTATTTTAATAAAATACTATAAAAAATTAAAATATTTTATTTTATTTTAATAAAATTTTATTAAAATAATATAATTTTAAAAAAATTTTATTTAATTTTTTATAATACAAAACTGATATTTATTTTTCTGTAAATATATTTATATGAATCCCACTGTGTTACGTGGCACACCTTTCATTAAAAGTCTAACTGTTAGACTGTTTCATGTGGATCCCACTATATTTCTTGGACTACATTTTCGTCAAATATGTAATTAGTAACTCCATGACTTACAAACTAGCGTAATATTACATTCGCTAACAATGAATCTCGTTTCGTGCTGTTGCTATCCTGTAATTGTTAATATGTATTTTTTTTATTATAATTAATTATTATATTTTTTAATTTATTTAAAAATAAAAAAATATAAAATTTCTGAAAAAAATATAATGTAAGAAAATGAAATAATTAATTAAACTAAAAAAAATTATAATAATAACTATTAAGGTGTTAAAATAACTCTACAATTTACGAACAAATCTAATCGTATTCGCATTTCATGTGTCGGGATTCAGTGACCACTTATTGCCTCAAAGAGCAATTCGTGCTTTGTATTCTCAAATTTTGGGTTCAATATTCCTCACTAACACCTCTAACATGCCAATCTCTAATAATTGTTTTTATCAAAAAAAAAAGTTTAATCGTATTGAGCATGGTATTCTAAAAATGAATTTCGTCAACCACGATGAATGTCCCCACAATTAATTACTTGTGATTCTGTCGCGTGTATAAAAGGAACGTTAATTTTTTTGTGTGGACAACAAAGGGTCCTCCATTACTTAATTATATATATCACATTTCACACAGGGCAGGATTCAAATGTTTTGGTATTGACACGTACGGGAAGAGAGAATGGGAAATTGTTTTGGGAAGGGCGGGGTGGTCGATCATCTGATGGAGGCACGGAGGAGGAGGAGGAGGAGAAGGAGTCTTGGTGAGCCGTCATCGAGCAGTTTGAGAGTTAACGTACGGATGACTCGAACGGAATTGGAGGAGATGATAACGCGGAGCCAAGGCAATTCTGATGAGCTTGCACGATTGATCCTCAGGGAATGCTTAGAAGGTAGATTGGTTCCTCGAGTAGGTAGATTGGTTCCTCGAGTTGTCGTCAGTCAGGGAACGGCATCGGAATGTTCAACAGTTAATGGGTTGAGTAGGATAGATGAAGAAAATGAAAATGTTTGAGTACTAGAAAAATATATGTAAATAAGTTGAGAAACTTAGAGATTGTCAAAACTTTCATTCAGAGTCTTCATCAATCCATCTAATTTCTGTTCTTCTTCTTCTTCTTCTTCCTTTTTTTCTTCGGTATGCATAGTTCCTAAACTTCTGTTCTATGTACCAAAATTTTCTAATATGAAAATTTTCTAATATGCCCAAGTTAAAAACGTGTTTTGTATTTTAAACTATAAATATTAATTATGAATGATAAGAAACTAAAGTGCCAGCCTCTCTATCGTGATTGGTGATCGGTATTTGGTGCTTTATAGCCTACACCAGACTGTAGGCCAATTTGTCTATTACAAAAAGAGAAAAA